CAAAATTTTAATTTATTTTGTTCTATTTTATTTTATTCTATTTTATAGCACTGTGTTTATGTATTTTAGTATTTATTTTATTTATTGTAATTCCTGCATTGTATGGGTCACTTTTATCATCTGTGCTGCTTTTAATCTGTACAGCACTATAAATAAAGTTTGAGTTGAGTTGAGATTTAAATATTTTCTCCATGTTTCTGTGTTGCTGATCAGGTGTACTGATAAAGTATTGACTTTTTCCTTGTGGCGGCAGGAGGAGCGGCTGCTGCAGCATGATAATAAATTACACCAAAACATAAACAAGTAAGCTAACACCTGTAAAGTCAGAGCTTCTCAAGACTATGCTTGTCAATACTTTAGCACAAGCTTCACTTATCCATGGGGACAAATGAACAAAAGGTTGTTGTTAGTTAAAACTGTAACGTGGATAATGGCTTCATTAGCTTCCTGGAGTCCCCACAGTCCTGTAAACTGGCGTAAATAGTTTCAGCACATGAGGACCCACAGCAGTTCAGTTCAGGGTGGAGATGAAGACTCTGACACTGATCTGAGTTCTGTTTGTGTTTGTTGCCATGATCAACAGACATTCTCTAAATGTTATTTATGGTTTTAGATACCTCATTCCACTGTGACATCTCACTGACTCTCTCTGTTTGTCTGTTGCTACAGAGACAGAGAGCAAGTGAGGAACTCCAAAATCATCAGAGAGCTCACACTGGAGAGAAACTACACAGGTGTGACCAATGTGGGAAAACATTCAAACGCAGGTATCACCTGAATAATCATCAGAGTGTTCACACTGGAGAGAAACCATACAAGTGTGACCTGTGTGGGAAAAGTTTCGCCAGAGCTGGTACCTTAAAAATCCACTATGGCATTCACACTGGAGCCAAACCATATAGCTGTGACCAATGTGGAGCGGCTTTCCTACACAGGAATCACTTCTTTGCCCATCAACGTGTACACACTGGAGAGAAACCATTCAGCTGTGACCAGTGTGGGAAAGTTTTCGCTACTCAAGGTAGCTTGAGAGTCCATGAACGCATACACACAGGAGAGAAACGGCACAGCTGTGTTGAATGTGGAATGGCTTTCATTAGGCGTAACGCACTGACTCGTCACCAACGCGTTCACTCTGGAGAGAAACCGTACTGGTGTGACCTCTGTGGGAAAACATTTGCCCGGGGAAATGCCTTAGAGGTCCATCGTTGTACTCACACTGGAGAGAAACCGTACTGGTGTGATGAATGTGGGAAAACTTTCACCACATCAAGTGAACTTCGGATGCACCGACGTGTTCACACTAGAGAGAAACAGCACAGCTGCGACTAGTGTGGGAAAGCTTTCACCTGCCAAAGTATCCTAGAAGTCCACCAATGTACTCATATTGGAGAGAAACCCTACAGCTGCGACCAATGTTTGTGCCTCGGACCAGCCTCAACATCCATCGCCATGGTCACACCGTGTTGTTTTGAATATTTCTGTAGTTCTGCAGTCATGAAATTAAGTTATGAGTTTGAAAAACCTGTTTCCACTGAATGATTGATGGTTGGACTGATCCAATGATTCTGGCGAGATGAACAGACTAAAACCTTATTAGATATACAAATTTTGACAAAGTTTCCCTTTGGGAACATAATTTGTTGATGGAAAAAGGTGACAATATCGGTGTATCATGACTTATGATATTGTGATATTATCGTATTCTGGGGCCTGTCATGATGCCCGCCTCTACCATTTAATAAAATATGGCTTTCAAATGACTAATATAAAACATGTCCCAAGGAGGAGGAAGACCATGACTGTGCTAAAAAAAAATGTATGTTTTTTGTGCAGAGCAGAATAGTGGCCAAAGTGACAAAACCTGGAAAGTCATTGAATTCACAGTCTCTTTCTCCAGGCCCGGAAATGTCATGGTATTAATAAAAATCATTTCAAGTTTTGGATAAGTGATGGAATTTTGTTGTGTGTACAGTAATCTTTGGCAGATAAAGTTTCAAGTAATGTAACAAAATGCTGAATTTTTTAATATATTTATTTATTTTGTTGTTACGTAGCTCTAATATGCATCAATGTGTGATGTTTTGTAAACCATCGTGTAAGTTTTTTCATTTTCTCACTGCGTTTTGTCTCCCTCCATATATCCGGGCAAGCTGAAATTATGTGTGATTGGAAGGCCTGTTTTTTCCTTCTGAAGGACGTTGTATTGAGTCTGTCCATACTTTGAAGTATTTGAAGTGAACATAACAGACTATCAGGTCTTGCAAAAGGTTACTGCTTAATTTTCATACAGTAGTTAACTTCTTGAGAAGTGCGTTATACAGTTCTGTTTGTGTTATGTGTTGTAAATGGTTTTGTTTTGAGTCCTTGAAAAACCATGGAAAAGTTTTTAATTTTTTTTTTGTTGCTGAAAATGTGTGGGAACCCTGAATTTAGTTGGAGTGAAACAAAGTTTGGATACCTCGCCACATTTGGAAAAGTGCTCTATTTCAAACACCTGCTGTCAGGGACGTGTCCAGGCAAATGGGGGAAAATTTTATGGAAAAAGTTTTAGGAATTAATTGGCAAAAATGTGTGAGAACTTCGGACTGCTGTGTTGTGTTTTTAAGATTTGTTAGACCTCTGCTACCTCCCCACATTGGAGCTGCAGTCTTGAGTGTATTTCCACACTGGTGTTATTTCTTCGTAACTAAGTCTGAATTAATATGAAATAATCATTAAATCAGGCAGTAATTCAGCGTGCGTTAATTAGCACATTTTTTTTAAACTTAAGCGAACACCCACTTTTACGTGACTGAAACACAGGAAGTTTTTAATTTACACTTTTAACCTTTGGTTTACCATGTGACCACACTGCCATCTAGTGACCATGGATGGTTACTGGAATATTAAAAGTGTCATATTGTTTAGGGATCAGTGTTTATTAAATCTGCAGAGCGGTAAATCCAAGTGTTTGCCTTCTGTTTTATTTGTAGAGATACTGAATATTAAATTCTGCCAGTTACAGTCAGCTTCTGATGAAACTGACAGGAGAAGGTTATCATGTGTTTTGACTGTTTAGATCACGTGTTTCCTGAGTATTTGTTGTAATAAATCAATAAATGCATTTTTTTTTTAAATGTTGTTTGTCCCTTTTTTCAGTCTGTGTCCCCTCTCTAAAATTCAGAGGTTTTTAAGGGTCTGTGAACGCAGCGCGGGCGGAACTCTTTATGATTTCTTTTGTTCCTCAGTGACAGTTTGAGTTGTGGAGTGGATAGTTGATCATATCTGATCAGATCAGACCGATGGATGAGAGGAGGTTTTTGAATCTGTTGAGGTTTGTTCAGACTGAGAGTAAAGATTCTAGTCGAAGCAAAGAGATGCAGATTCATTAAAGATGGCACCAGCTGAGGTGAAGACAGGTCAGCTCAGCTCCACACCACTCCTCTTCTCCATCACTACTCTGCCTCCCTGATGTTGTTTCTGGAGGTGAGGTTCATCCTATGGTTTGGGGTGTTGGTATCTTAGTGGATAGTGCCGGCGCCCCATGTATAGAGGTGATGCCTTGCTGCAGCGGTTGCGAGTTTGACCCCGGCTTGCAACCCTTTGCTGCACTCTCTCTCCCCACCTCACACTCTTCACTCTGTCCTGTCCATTAAAGGCAAATGTCTTTTCTAAATAAACTTCCTTTTAAACAGGAAATGTACATTTTGTGCTCATGAGATGCACAGTCTTTTTCAACATAAACTTCAACGTTGGTAAAACATCTCAGTTATTTCCTTGTGCAACATGGTTTGACTCTACATTTGTAGAGGCCTCCTGGGTGAAAGTCCAGGGTTTGTTGGACACATCCACCAACCAACCCTCCCTCCCGCTCTACAGGGACATTACTGCTCCTTCTATTAAACAGTTACCAACAGTGGCATATCTTACCGCCATATCTTCTGGTAATGTCACTTTGATTAATGTCAGGTTGTCATAATCAAGACAACCCAAACAATGTCAACTTGTCATTACAAAAACCGAATGACACTTAATGACAGCAGTCATAAACATTTATGACAAGTTCATAATGTTCATGACAAGTTCATGACCGTGTCATGTCACTCTTATGTACCGGTTTTTGTTTGGTCTTAGAAGTTGTGTAGGTTATAAATGTTACTGTATATTACCTGCACTTTCTTTCTTATAGCTAGACAATGTGTTGATAACAGCTCATCAAGGTGTCCCATCTCCATTATTTCTGATTAACTGCATTTTTATTATCTGTGTTTGTGAATAAATTGTGTAAAATGAAATAAAATGAAATGATTTATTCTGAGTTATTTCATTTCTTTTAGTGTATGATGACAGTAAAAGCGTATTTGTTGCACTCTGGAAAACAGGGATAAATGATCACACAAGTGATGCAGTGTTTCCTCAACCAGAGCTTTAGTGAAGTGAGGCAAACATTGCGCGCGATATCTCTTGTATGAGGGCGCAGACAAAAATAATCGATCCCAGAGGAAGACAGAGATTATTATAGTTTAGTTTTTAACTGTAACAAATAAAACCAACAATGAAATGAATAAGAGATTATGTAATATTTTAACCCCTTCTTAAACATCTGATGAGTTTACAGTTTTAAACCGTTTTTTTAACTCTTCACATTTACTGTTTTTTAACTCATATTTATAGTGACTTTATGGTCTTTTTAATCACATCTCAGCCCTTCTTTTTTATGAATTGTTTCTTTTACCTATATGAGCTTTTTAACTTCAACAGGATTTTAGCTTATTGCTGATTAATATATTACCTTTTTTTAAACTATTACATATTCATTCACGCCTCATGGGACTGAACATCCAGTGAACCAATCAGAAGCTCTTCTCTGAATTTAATTCAGTATTTATGATAAACCGTGAAAAGTAAATCTGAGTTTTTTAATAAGATTTATCTGTTACAGCTGCAACACGCTACATGAAACGTCACCATGGAGTCATTACAGGAAGCTTTGTGTCTGTGTCCCACAATGCACCGCACTGTTATTGATTGTGCTGCCTATCCAACATGGCGGCTCCTGACTGCGTCTTCCACAGAACTCTGACCCGGTCCAGATCCGGCCCAAACAAGGTCTGAACCACCACCACCATCATCATCCTCATCATCATCATCGTTTTACTGATCTATCGCTGTTGCGTTTGGCGCGTGCTTCCGTCTCCACCCCTCCTCTGAGCTCGGACTCAACATCAACCAGACTCCGTTCAAATATCAACCGATTTAACGTCGCTTTCCTCAGGAGCAAAAACACGTCAACTAGACTCTTAATGTTCTCTGAATGAGGAGTTTCCGGTTTCGTGCAAACGATCCGTTTGCTTTCATCTTAACAATAAAACGCGGGATCTCAAGAACGCGCCTGTTTCCCCTCTCAGTCTGCTGCAGTGAGAGTCACTTAAAATCCACATTTCATGTCTAAAAACTCCCGTTGAGTGAGTTATGGATATGCCGATTTTTTCACAAGACGCTTAAGATCTAGAGAGCTGCCCAGCTGTGTTGTAGATGTGTTTCTGTGAGCCGGTAAATCCGACCGATTTAAATTACCTAAAGTTTAAATGGAGTTTGGTCCGAGTCAGAGAGCGCGCGGTTCAGCTGCCTGTCACCTCTCTGCCACTCAGCTTCATCAGTTAAATGAAGGTTGTTATTAATTATGTTATTTTGTTCATTAATCGTCATCACTAAAACCAACAAACATGTTGTTACATCTGATGTATTCACAGTTCAGTTATATTTTCTGTATCTGCTCTGAATGTTGTTTGTCTGAGTGTCTAACCCGGTGGATATTTATCTTTTTATTTATTTATCTTGTATTTAGTTCAGTTAAATATCAGAAACAGTCTCACTGAAATCTAACATTTGTGATTACAGAATATGAACTCTTCGTTTTGTCATAAACCGGCCACAAACAATAACATGCGTCTCTTATATTCCTCTGACTCGCTCTGTTTCTGTTTATTCTGTTTTCTATCATGTTTCTGACTCTTTGTTAGTTTTTGTGCTGGAAGCTTTTATTGTGAAAAACTTAAATCGTTTACTGACTCACATTGATACCGCCAGTGTTTCCTACTAATGTTCTTCAGGGTGTCCGCAGGTGATGATGTCACAGGTTCAGTTTTACTGATTAATCTCTAGGTTTTATTTTGTTTGTTTGTTTGTTTGTTTTTCCCATTTGTTTGTCTCTCAGGCATCCTCGTCCTCGTCCTCTCCTGCTGTCTGCAGGGAGTTCCTGTGTGTGGTGGACATGCAGCGGTACAGCAGAGACCAGGGATCCTCCGTCTACTTCCCCCAGGCTGTCCTCAATGGTCAGACACTGCAGGACAAGACAGACAAACAAAACACAGCAACAACACAGACAAAACAAAACAGGACTAACAAAACAAATAAACCACAAACAAAACTGGGCAAACAGAATAAAACAGGAGAAACAAAATAAACAAACAGGTCAAACGAAACAATAGTAAGATAAGATACACCTTTGTTGATCCCACATTTGACAAACAACTGAGTACAAACAAAACAAACTGGAAACACTAAACAGGATAAACAACACAAACAAAATAATAAGCAACAGAAACAAAACAACACAAACAAAACAAACAGGTTAAAAAAACAGAACAGTACAAACAAAACAAACAAATAGGACAAACAAACAGGGCAAACTGAACAAACAAACCCATCCGGACAAACAAAAGAAAATAGTACAAACAGGACAAAACAAACAAAATACACAAACAAAACAAACAGACAGGTAAAAAATCAGAACAGTATAAACAAAAGAAAACAAACAACACAAACAAAACAGGGTAAACAACACAAACAAAATAGGACAAACAAAAGAAGCCAACAAACAAATCACTACCAATAAAACAAACAACACAAACGAAACAGTAAACAATTCAAACAAAAAAACAGGTAAAAATAACAAAACAATCAGGGCAAACAACACAAACAAAACAGTGTAAACAACACAAAAGAGGACAAACAAAATAAACAGGCCAACAAAAAAGAAAACAGTTCGAGCAAAAAATACAAACGGGACAAACAAAACAGGTTAAACTAAACAAACGGGATAAACAACAAACAAAGAAAAAACAAAACAAACAATCAGGACAAATTAACAAACAAAACAGGAAAAACAAACAAACAGGAAAAACAATACAAAAAGTACAAACAAACAAACAGGACAAAGAAAACATCCCAGGTCATGAACCAGTATAAAACAGGAAGGTCAACACTTTGTTTCCTGTAACTGTTTCCAGAAATTCTAACATGTCCTCTGCTGCAGCTGAGCCTACTGGTCTTACTGGTTTGTGTTGGTGTGTACTGGTGTGTTGACTCCAGCAGGTGATGACCTGTATGACATCACACTGACAGACGGAGACTGCAGGCTTCGTGTGACTCTGGATCCTGGTCTGAACCGGCTGGTCGAGAGGAACGTCCTGCAGCCAGGGTCGATGCTACGAAACGCCGCCTTCGCCCCCGCCATGACAGCTCAGCTCCCAGAATGCCCTGGGGCCTCTGGAGACAGAGACAGGTGAGTGAGGACAGGTGGACTATGTCGCTGTGATGTCATCAGTCGGGTTAAATGTTTCTGCTCCTACAGCTACAGACTGGTGAGCGTGGAGGTCAAAGATGGAGCTGCAGGTGACGATGATGAGGAGGAAGATGGAGTCAGGAGGTTTGACGTGGACCAGGACTCTCTGCCCTGGTTTGGATTGTCAGAACCTGCAGGTGAGACGAGACTGTTGTCAAAATCCAGATGAATATGTGAACAGAGACAATATAAGAACCATGACGATGAGCCTGACCTTTAAGAAGCTGGGTAGGATCATGACAGTTTACATGTCACATTCACCCATTCACACACTGGTGGTCGTGGCTACCATACAAGGTGCCACCTGCTGCTCAGTAACCATTCACTTGCACTCACACACCGATGGAACAGCCATTGGGAGCAACTTGGGGTTCAGTATCTTGCCCAAGGATACTTTGACGTGAAGACTGGAGGAGGCGGGGATCAGACCACTGTCGCCCCGGTCAAAATGGTCGCGCAACGATTACGTCACATCCAGAGCCCGGTAACTTTACAGCAACCTTCCTCCTACTCCGCCGCACAGTGGAGACACGGCGGTTGAGGGCCGAGTGAGAGGACGTTCCTGTAAAGTTCCTGCCCCCCAAATAGTACCAGGAACTTCTTCAGTGGAAATGGGCATATTGTTTAACATACCCTACAAGTTTTGTAATGATTGGACAAACAATTTCTGATTTAAAGTCCAATTTATGCTATGCATTTTGGCGCCACTTTCTACCCTCTTAGACATTTCCTGTAAGTTTTGCAATGATTGACTCAACGGGCAGCTGAGTGAAGTGGAGCCTGAGGAGGAAGCACCGGTTAGCCCCGGTTTCACTACAGGCAGATTCACTTGCTACAGGGGCGAGGAAATAAAACCTGAACAGCCAATCAGAGTGATCTCTCTCACCGACAAGCTCCACCACCGATTCAACATGCTCAATCGGCCAAAAAGCCGCCGACAGTGTGGGACACGCTGCAAAAACTAGGGCGACAGACGCTCCCTGACGGCCTGACTTTGGATGGTCGGCTTGGTGTGTCAGGGTCTTTACAGTGTGAGGGGTATGACCTTTCAAAAATTGAATGTGTGGGCCTTAATTATAGCGCCCTCATCTGGCCAATTAGCGTCATATTTCTTGAGTAGCATTTGTACACAACTTCCAAGAACTGGTGAAGATTTAATGTGTCTACGATGAACCAACTCACAAAAACATTGCTGAATAAAAAAAGAAGTCCAAGCAAAACCAACAAGGTTTCAGCTCTGCAGGCTCGAACCCCCGATGAGTCGCAGGTATGTTCTGCAGCGTGATGATGATTCTGATCGGCTGATTGATCCCACAGGTTCTTTGGTTCCTCTGAGAGCCAATAGGAGCGTGTTCCTCCCTCTGTGGAACAGTGTGGACTACAGCGGGGAGGTGTGGAGAGAAGCCCCGCCCATTGAGGAAGAGGATGGAGATGAAGAGGAGGAGGAGGGTAGAGATACTGTCGATCATTACGCTTGAATATTAATCAGATTAAGTCTGATTTTTTTACATTTGAATGTTTGTCCACTGAAGTCTTAAAATGTGCTACTATAATTTATGGGGAGGAAATATATATA